ATTTGATCATGTATTTGTCTATCTTTGATGAAACCTCCTTGTTCTGGGGAGATAAGGTTTGGCAGAAGTTTACCCAATCTCATTGCTAAAATTTTTGTGTTAATTTTAGCTATGAAATTAGATAAGCAAATGGGCCTGAAGTTCTCAAAAGTTGTAGGATTCTCTTTTTTAGGAATTAAGATGATAGTAGATTTGCCCAGAGTTTTAGGAATGGGAATACCTAAAAAGAATTCTTGAACAGCCCTTGTTACATCTTCTTTGATAATATCCCAACTTTGCCTATAGAAGTCTCCTGTAAAACCATCAGGTCCAGCTGCACTATTAGGGTCAAGATTCCATATTGCTTCCTTGACTTCTTCCTCGGAGGGTAGATTGATGAGGGTTTGGTTTTCAGCTTCATTGACCAGGTTTGGAATGTTTGAGAGGAATTGTTCATGTCCCTCACTGATTTCCCAAGAGAAAAGATGACTGAAGTAGTTAACAGCCTCTTGTTGGATGTCTTTATTGTTTTCTATCTATTCTCCTTGGTTCTTTTTGATTCTCTGGATTGTTTGGAAGTGTCTTTTCTCTTTCAAAATTGCATGGAAGTATGAGGAATTGCAGTCACCTTCTTTAAGCCATTTGATTCCAGCTTTTTGCTTCCAGTACTGGAATTCATTTTTAGTGGCTTGGATCAGATGTGCTCTTGTTTCATTCATAAGGGTCCTATTTTCCATGCTGGGATTCTCATCAAAAATATTTTCTGCCTCTTGTAGTTGGGACTCTAAATCTTCCACTTTGGTTATGATGTTTCCAAAGGTGTTTTTGTTCCAATTGTAGAGAGCTGTAGTGAGTTTGTCCATCAGCCCTCTCATCCCTCCTCCTTTATAGTCACCCCAGTTGTCTTGAATAATATTTCTGAAGGAGTGATGATTGGCCCAACAGTTTAGATATCTGAAAGGTTTAGGACCCTTGAAGCTGTGGTTGTTCATTTTGATGATGATAGGGCAATGATCAGAGTTTCCTCTAGAGAGATGCTGACTTGATATGCCAGCATAATGTGTCTGACAAATAGAGTTAGTGAAGACCCTATCCAATCTTTTCCAGACTCTGCCCAATGATCTTGTTCCTGTCCATGTAAACAGGTTTCCAGTGAAAGGGGGAGTATAGAGTCCATTGTCCATGATACAGTTATCAAAATCCTGTTGAGGCATGGAGTGCTTTTCCCTTTGTGATGTTCCAATGTTGAGATGGCATTAAAGTCCCCTCCAAGAATCCAGCAATTATTATTGTTTTGATTGCTGATGTTGATAGCTTCCCAAAGATCTTTTCTATCTTCCCTGGTGTGTTTGCCATAAACTCCAGAGAATAAGATATTTTCTTTTGTTTGATGACACTGGAAGAGAACATTAATCATTTGCCCCAAGTCTGTGTGATTGATATATGTGAGATGTTCATTCTTCCACAATATCCAGATTCTGTTACTTGAACTATGGATGGAGTTGGAAAATCCCAGTTCAAGTT